CCCGCCCCGTGCCCCCATCCCGACGCCGGACGCCCAGTGCTCCCACCCCGTCCTACCCCTCCCCTATTGCTCCGCCTCTAGCCCCGCCTCCACTCCCATCCACCTCCAGTCCCGCGCCGCCCCGCGCCCCACCTCCCGGCCCTGCCGGGGTCCTTTCCGCGCTCTCCGCACTTCGGAGCGGCGGGGGCGCACGGGGACTGACCCGGACGGCGCGATGGAGTCGAGTGGAGGCCGCGCGGAGGGCTCGGGCCGCGGCCCGCGGGTGCTGGTGGTGGGCAGCGGCATCGCGGGGCTGGGCGCCGCGCAGAGGCTCTGCCGCCACCCGGCCTTCCAGCAGCTGCGGGTCCTGGAGGCCACTGCCCGCGCCGGCGGCCGCATCCGCTCGGAGCGCGGCTTCGGTAACGGCCTCTCCCGGAACCCCTTCCCCGAGCCCATTTCCAGAACGCAACGGGTGCTGCCCGGGCTCTGCCGCTCCTGGTCCGGCCTGCACCTGGGTTAACCGACCTGGAAGCCTTACCTGGCGCCCCGAGTGAATCTCCGCCCCACCCCACTTGATCAGGCCAAGTTCAGGGGTCCCCGAAACTCAGCTGCCGCGTTGGCAGGGCCGGCCCCTGCCGGGGAGGGTAACCTATGTCTCTGCAGTCGCTCTGGTTGGGTCCCACAAGGACCTCCCCTCCAGCCTCCGGGTCACTCCCAGGCACCCCTTCTGCCCCCATGCCTGCTCTCCAAGTGTCCTCCGAAGGCGGGTGCAGGTCAGCGCCCCCGCTTCAAATGTTCCCCTTAAACTAGGTCTGACCAGGCCCTAGGACTGTAGTCTTCAGGGACCGTGTGTCCCTGGGGCTGTTTTTAGAGCATATTTGGGAAGGGCAGGGCTGGTGTGGTTCAGGAGAAGGGCTCAGGGTTGGCCTTTGTGGGGAGAGAACCTCAAAGTGTCATCTGCTGCCCCTCCCAGGTGGCGTGGTAGAGCTAGGTGCTCACTGGATCCACGGGCCCTCACAGGGCAACCCCGTCTTTCAGCTGGCTGCCAAGTACCAGCTGCTAGGGGAGAAGGACTTGTCAGAGGAGAACCAGCTAATCGAAACTGGGGGTCATGTGGGCCTGCCATCTGTGTCCTACGCCAGCTCTGGGGTAAGTGTGAGCCGTGAGTTGGTGGTGGAGATGGCTAGTCTGTTCTATAGTCTCATAGACCAGACTCGGGAGTTCCTGCACATGGCTGATGCCCCAGTGCCCAGCGTTGGGGAGTACCTCAAGAAGGAGATCCGTCAGCACGCGGCTGGCTGGACAGAGGATGAGGAGACCAGGAAGCTCAAGCTGGCCATCCTCAACAGCTTCTTCAATGTGGAGTGCTGTGTGAGCGGTACCCATAGCATGGACCTGGTGGCCCTCGCACCCTTTGGGGAGTACACCGTGCTGCCGGGGCTGGACTGCACCTTTCCTGGGTATGTGCATGCCCCACCCACCCAGCCAGCTCTCTATGTGCCCCGGGCCCCCTGGGGCCCCACACCCAGATCCCCTCCATGCACCCTGGGACCCCCTCCATTTACCCCAGTTCCCCTACCTGTGCTCCTGGAATCCATCCATGCACCCTGGTCCCTCTCCATGCACCCCGGGGCCCCCTCCCTGAGCTCCTGGAGTCCCTCCATGCACCCAGATACCCTCCATGCACTCCGGACCCCCTCCATGCACCCCAAAGCCCGCTCCATGTGCTCCTGGAGTCCTTCCATGCACCCTGGTCCCTCTCCATGTGCTCCAGGGCCCCCTCCCTGTGCTCCTGGAGTCCCTCCATGCACCCAGATCCCCTCCATACACCCCGGGCCCCCTCCATTTACCCGAGTTTCCCTCTCTGTACTCCTGGAGTCCCTCCATGCACACTGGGACCCCCCCCATGCACCCAGGTCCCCTCTGAACCCTGGCCCCCTTTATGCACCCTCGTCCCTCTCCATGTACCTTGGTCCCTCCTCCATGCACCCTGGTCCCCTCTGAATCCTGGCCCCCTTTATGCACCCTGGTTCCCCTCCATGCACCCTAGGACCCCTCCATGCACCCTGGGACCCTTTCCATTTACCTCAGGTTGGGCTTTGGGAAGCAGGGGAAGGGTGAGAGGGTCAGGAGGCCATTTGTCTTCATTGTTTTAGAGAGATTGCTCATTTGTTTCTCTAGTTTTGCTCACTTGGGAAAAATAATTATTTTCAAGAAAAGGTGGTTAAAAGAAGGCAGTGCATCCCATAATGCTTTCTTCCTCCCATGTTTATGAGGCCTCTGATGTGCTAAGTGCTGTGTGAGGCTCCGGCCCCTGTGATGGACAGACAGCCCACCCCTGGGGCAGGTGGCTGTCCCCCCACTGAGCACTCAAGAGGCCCTCGCAGGACTGTCCCGCTGGGCTCTCCAGCGTCACCCCAAGTCTCCTGGCAGGGGCGGGCATTTGTGATCAGAAGTAGGGTTCCAGGTGGTTGGGAAGGAGGCCTTGTCCTCCTACGATTACCTCCATTCACTCATGCTCACCTAATCCCCCTGTTAGCGTGGGCGGTGGTAGTGGTGTTCCTGAGGTAGACTGGAAACCCCCGGGAGATCCCCTGCCCTCCTCCCTCCTTCCCTGCAGGGCCACCTCCCCAGGCAGCTCCCTCTGAAAACACCAACACCTCTGTTTCTCCAAGTGGCTACCAGGGGCTCACAAATTGCATAATGGCCTCCTTGCCAGAGGACGTGATCGTTTTTAACAAGCCTGTGAAGACCATTCACTGGAACGGGTCCTTCCAGGAAGCCTTGTCTCCTGGGGAGAGGTTTCCAGTGCTGGTGGAGTGTGAGGACAGAACCTGCTTCCCTGCACATCACGTCATCATCACCGTGCCCTTAGGTAAAGCCCATTTTCCCTGTAAGGTTTCCCCTTGGTCACTCACCCCCGGGGCCCCGGCAGCGGGCTCTGGAGTGTTTGTTCAGGTGCTAGCTCACATTTTCAATCTAGTTTCGGACAGGCTTATTCTATTGTGTTTTGTAGCAATTGCATGCTTTGGAATTGAGTTTCACAATAAGAGAAAATGCATGTCTTGCTTCTTCCGAGGTCGTTTATGGAAAGGCTGGGACTGCCTCCAGAAGTTCACCAAGCTGTGCTTTCTTGGAGGCGGAAGTGGGTGTGAAAGCCAGCTCTCAGTTTCAGGCCTGGTGTAATCAAGAAAGGGCTCAAGCATATGGTTCTGTTTAATTCTAGATCTGACGCCCAAGACAGAAGCCATTTTGGCAATTTGACAAGAGGTGGAGGTGGCTGTGAGCCAAGCCGTGTCTGTGCATCTCATTTACTCTGCAGGCAGCTGGGACGTGTATGTCCCCAGCCTGTCTGACAGATGCAGACCGAATCACGCCACTTCACTGTGCAGGTTCACAAAGCTAGCAGGGGCCAGAGCTGATGGAAGATGCAGAGCAAGGGTCCAACCCGCCCAGCCCTGGGTTCCTTCAGCACGGACGTGCTGGCTGTGGGTGAGCTTGCTCAGGACCCAGCTCCTTTCTCGCACACATGGAGTCACACTGGACATATTAACAGAGTCTGCTGATGCTTGTTTGCTGCCCTCTCTTTTTTTTGGGTAATAAAACTTTTGTCAGTGCTTCCAAATCAGCACATACAGATCCATCAGTCATTTTTTACCGCCTCCTGCCGGTGTCTGTGTGTGCTTGCTGGGCCCCTGCTATCATCAGTGAGTGCATTACTGGGTCTGTTGATACTGTTCACAAGGAGCCAGGCCATCTGTCACATTGGTTCTTTATAGCCACATAGTATTTTCTTGTATGTAGGGGTCATTGCTTAATATTCCTTAGTTGATGGAAATTCAGCCTATTTTCACTTTTCTTGTTTTACATAGCATTTTCCATGTGCATTTAAAAACACTTGTGTGAATATATCTGAGGCATAAATCACAGGAGTGGGAGTGGCTGGGTTGAGGGTCTGGCAAATGGGACTGTGGGTGGAGGGCATGGTGACCCTTCTGTGGGTCCTCACAGCCTCTGTGGATCTGTTTCCTCTTGGGCTGTTTGTCCTTTACTTACTGGCTTGCAAGTTATCTGTGTTGTAAGGAGACTGGCTTGTGCTGCAAATAGTCCCTCTCATTGTTTGACTCTGGCCCAGAATTAATTTTTTTTGCCAGGCAGATTAGTTTTCATGTAGCTTGTGGATAAAGCCTGTATATTGTGATGCTACTCCAAACTATTCCAGAGCAGCATGGTTTGCAGACGTTGAGAGGCAGACAGGTTGAGAAGTGAGAAACCGTCCTACAGAGCAGTTTGGGTGGGGCATGAGAGCTGTCCCTGCCTGACCAGGTGGCCATGGGGCCTTCCTTGTCCCTCCGCTGTGGTGTTGCTCGCTGAGACTGAGTCCCGATGGCCAGAGCCAGCCCGATTTCTGGGAGCCCAGTTGAACTGGGGCTGGTGTGGGTTAGTGGACAGTCTCTGGAAGCCTCCTTTCTCTGACTCCTCTGATGGGTGTCAGGGTGGGTTCCTGTGGCTGCCAGTTCCAGTTTAAGAGATTATGTGGTGTAAGTTGAGTCCACTTGTGAATTCCAGGTTTTCTTAAAGAACATCTGGACACCTTCTTTGAACCACCACTGCCCCCTCAGAAGGCAGAAGCGATCAGGAAAATAGGCTTTGGGACCAGCAATAAAATCTTCCTGGAGTTTGAGGAGCCCTTCTGGGAGCCAGACTGCCGGCACATCCAGGTGGTGTGGGAGGACACGTCACCCCTGGAGGACGTCACCTCTGGCCTACAGCACGTCTGGTTCAAGAAGCTTATTGGCTTTTTGGTCCTGCCTTCCTTTGCGTATGTATGCTTCTTGAGTTTCTCTGAGGAAGCTTCAGGGGTGAGCTCTGAGGGGGCTGATTCTTTGGCCTTAGTTTTGTTGAGAATCCAGCAGTGTATTGATTCCCTGGGAGGCATTTCTGGAGGATTTCTGGGTGGAATTCCAAGGGCACCCCAGAGCGCTGATAACAGACACTGGGGCCTGAACCATTGCAGGGACAGACAGAAGCCTCTTGTAGGCAGCCCTTTGGTGTGTCTCAGGTCCTTGAATGAGCTGGTGGCCTGGAGGGCATGTTCAATCAGTAAGAAAATATTTACTGAAATTCCCAGGAAGCTGGGGTGTGGAGGTTACAGAAGGAATTTGAAACACGGAAGTGTCTGTAACTGGGAGACAATATTTAAACTTGATGCAGTAATTGAGCAACATATCCTTCTAAGTCAGAAATCAAAACCCATTAGTGGTTAAATTGTATGGTCCATCTATAATGCATAAATAATGCAGTGTATATGGACTTGGTGTGAACTCAGAAAATAAGACCATGAATCATTTAGGGAGGGAGGGACTGATTTTTCCAGCAGGATCAAAATATGTGGTTAGCGTGTTGTAGTCAATTGGCAGACACGAGTCCAAATTTCCACACAGAGACGTGTCAGGATTGGGGACCATATTCTGGGCCTGGAGGACAAAACGCAGGCATGCCTGCAGCTGATTTTATCCCCAACAGCCACAGAAGCTGGGTGCATGTGCTCCTCCCACCTAGGAGGGGACCCTGCACGTGTCCTTTGGACTGAAGATAAAGCTGACATCCAGGGGTTTGGAAATGTGTCCAGGGTCGTGGATGCATAGGGGAACGGTGGCTGGGTGTGCTCGGCTGCCTGCCCCACACTTGGCTCTGTAGCCTGTGCTCAGGACGTTGGTGGAGACAGCAGTCATCGGGATACTCTGTGGCTAGGACAGTGGCTCTCACACTTTGTGGTCTCTTTAAAAATATCGAGGATTCCAAAGAGCTTTTGTTTAGGTGGGTTGTGTCTGCACATTTACCACATTAGAAATTGAGACAGAAATTAAAAATATTTATTTTTTAAACTGAGTAAATCTATACCGTGTTAGCATAAATAACATTTTTTCTGAGGCGGGGAGGGGCAGAGGATGAGAGAGAATCTCAAGCAGACTCCACCCTCAGCATAGAGCCCGATGTGGGGCTCAGTCTCAAGATTCTGAGATCATGACCTGAACTGAAATCGAGAGTTGGACGCTTAACTGACTGAGCCACCCAGCACCCCATTACACTTTTAAATGAAAATACATTAACATTTTTAAATGAAAAATAACTATATTTCTAAAACAAAATTTAGTGAGGAGAGTGGCAGTGCTTTGTCTTTTTTCCTCATCTCTTTACTGTCAGGCTTAACAGTGGACAGCTTGGCTCTCCAGGCTGTCGGCATACGGTGGTGCCACGTCTCATTCCACTTGAAGTAGATTGAAAGTCTGGACTCAGATACATAGTTCAGAGAAGGGGTGGTGTTTAAATAGTCTTCAGGGGCGCCTGGGTGTCTCAGTTGGTTGAGCGACTGCCTTCGGCTCAGGTCATGATCCTGGAGTCCCGGGATCGAGCCCCGCATCGGGCAGCCTGCTTCTCTCTCTCCCACTCCCCCCTCTTGTGCTCTCTCTCTCTCTCATTCTCTCTCTCAAATAAATAAATAAAATCTTTAAAAAAAAATAGTCTTTAGATGATTGTGGGTATTCTTTGATACGGCACCAAAACTTAAGAAGTGGTCGCTCCTTCAAGGTGAGGCGTGGTGTGGAATCTGAAAGCTCGTCCATGGGTGTTTGTGCTCGAGGGCACCAAAATGCACTGTCTGTCCTGCACTTTGGGTGGATCTTGCACCTGCCCCTAGTTTGGGCATTCCAAACATTGATATATTTCATTGTACAACATCAAACAATTAAGTTTATTAATATCACCACGGATCTCAGGAAAGTCTCGTGGTATTGGGAACCTATCAAGCTGTTGGTGGCAGATACAAGTTTTCTAAAATTGTAATTTTTGCTTGAGAGCTTAAATTTTATCATTGGCAGTAAATGCTTGCAGTTGTTTTCCTTGTGATAGACATACTGCTCATTTTCGAGAAAATGTTTGCCAAACAACCAAGTTTGCATACCAGCGACATTCTTTCAAGTCAAAATGGTGTCCACGAAAGAAGCAGCTGCTTAGTTGGCAGCTCGGACCACCGCCCAGGGCTGTATGTCAATGACCGTCCCATGTCTGCACGTCCACGTGCAGCACAAGTGCTTTATTCTCATATCTCATTTTTTTTACTCTTTTTTATTGTTATGTTAATCACCATACATTACATCATTAGTTTTTGATGTAGTGATCCATGATTCATTGTTTGTGCATAACACCCAGTGCTCCATGCAGAACGTGCCCTCTTTAATACCCATCACCAGGCTAACCCATCCTCCCACCCCCCTTCCCTTCTAGAACCCTCAGTTTGTTTTTCAGGGTCCATCGTCTCTCATGGTTCATCTCCCCCTCCAATTTCCCTCCCTTCATTCTTCCCCTCCTGCTATCTTCTTCTTCTACTTTTTTTTTCTTAACGTATATTGCATTATTTGTTTCAGAGGTACAGATCTGAGATTCAACAGTCTTGCACAATTCACAG